TGCAACAAAAACAACAGTTATGTGCAACATGTACCAGGCGTTCAGATTCACCAAAATAAAGTTTGACAATTGCAGTTTGCACTAAACAGACCCCTTAACAAGCTCCTTGAGGAGCTTAAGAGAGCCTCAATTGGTGTTGAGAAAGTCTGCAGTTCCCTCCCCATCAAACCGCTACACCCTGCTCCTGCCCTCCCGCCATGGAAATTGCAAACCAACCCAGAGGCATTTGGATCCTGAGGACAACCTCAGGGATCATAATATTTAAGTCCCACCTGCACCAGGTCCTGACCCCACAGCCCTTTAAAATTTAGTTCAATTTGTCTCACTTTTAACTTTTAATTGGTGCACTTGGAATTTTCCACTGGTTGTCAACAGCTACGTCTCTTGAATTCTCACTCACTCACTACAGAAGCTAACAGAAAACTTAATTTGTGCATCTGTTCTACTAATTTGATGAAATATGTAAAATATATTGCAGCCATCTTCCTATAGACCTGTAAATAAGGAGATTCAAGTGGCTAAAACAGAGGAGAGATCTAACTTGCACAAAATGCATTAACTTGTACAGGTTTAACATTAAGCTGGTTAATGTGTGCAGTAATAGGAGACAGAATGTTATTTTGTTTTTGATCATTTATGTTATAACATTTGGAGCAATTAGGAAACTGTGTTTCACTCGTCAAGACTTAGGGTGAAATCTTGTTGAGGGGTCTGGAGTGTCATAAGCCAGCTGGAGAGCTAATGATCTGTGTTGCCACTTTCTGGGAAGGCTTGTCAAACCACATGCCAATGAGCCCATCAGCAATTCTTTGCCTGCAATCAAGACTCTGGGGGCAGAGATCCCACCCCAGCAAGACCTGGCTGCCAATCAGAAGCTGGCAGCTGTCTTGTGTCAGTAGTGCCATGGAGGAGACTGTGGCTATGGGTGGAGTAACACCCCCCACCCCCAAATTCCCTGGATCACAGAGGACCCAAGCCAAAAGTAAGCAATATGGTAGGGTGTGGTGTGTTCTCTAATTGAGGGTCATGAGAAGGGGCGGGTCAATAGCAAAGGCAGAGGGACAGCTCCCAGCTATCACTCCTTTGTCTGATGTCCAGTTCCTCCATCAAACTTTGATTGTTTTTAATCAAGGGACCCTCAGCCCCTAAACTGTCTTCAAGACATGGTGACAGGTCCTCTTGCATCTGGGGTAACACGAGCAGCAGGCTGAGGCCCTCAGGTGGTCCTTGATTGGCCATTATTGTCCGTTTATCAGCACTGGAGTGGGTCAGTTCTGGGTCTTCCCACCCAGGACCTAATTCTGGCAGAGGTGGGATTGCAGCTGTGTTTAGTTATGCCAACGCTTCACCTAAGCTTCAAGTTGCCCCTCTCTGGGACAGAATATTTCACTTTTGATCTATTTGAACATAATTTGAGCAGATTGTTGATATTGTTCTTGTTAAGATTCTGATGCGAGCTTTTTGTGGTTGATATATGCAAGCAGATCAGATGTTGTGTGAGGTACCATCCTAAACCCTTTGAAAAGATTTGCGTGTTTTGTTTTAAATTGGATTACCTTGAACACTGGATTGTGGAATCAATGGATCTTAAGACATTCTGGAGTATAGCCTGGCCTCTGAAATGCACTGTCACCATGCCCCTAAATTTCAACAGTATTACAGCACAGGCATCTCTATTTTAACACCAGCTAAGTACAAATATACCTGTTGACAATCCTATTATTGTATTTAGCACTTTTATGTGATTTTAATTACTGATATACTCCAGAAATTTAGAATGGAGTTTAAAATCCTGCTAAATTACTGGTAGGTTGAATGATAATAGTGTTAATGAGTTTACTTTTTTACTCACCTTTGTGAAATTTGGTTTTCTTGTGTTTTCCCAGTTCCAAGAAAATTACCCTTAGAAGCAGTTTGAATACTTTCCGTGGGAGCGATGTTATTTATTGACACAGAAAATAGCCTCTGCTGATTGTTTGTGCTACTTATCTTCAGTTTGTTTTGGGCTGTGATCTAGCTGTGAGGTATGATAAAGCCGAGAGGCTGAGAGGAGGAGGGTGAGGAGGACTGACCTTGTGGAGGTTGAAAGCTGTGTGGATGTGTTAAAAGCCGCAGTAATAATTTTGCAGAAGTGTTTGCTGACTGGCAAAACCCAGATTATATTGATGACCACTTTTAACCAGGTTCCTTAAAAAGAATAAACTGAATGGTGCGGTGGATATATTGGGCATTTAAATTACCAACAAGAGAAAAAAAGGTATTTTACCACTGAATTAATTAATTGATGTAAACTAGTTTTCTTACAGGACATCAGCAAGGTTTGCTAGTGGACATTAAACTTAGAGCTAAGCAACCCCACAATAAGCAGATTGGATCAAAACTGTCTCATCCATTTATGAATGGTGTTGGAGAAAGAAGAATTAACTGGAGGACACAACTTTCTGAATGTTCCCCACCCCTCCCCCACGTCAGTGGTGGAAAAATCCAGCAAATGAGCACAAAGACAACACTAAAGTATTTACAAACATCTTTAGCCAGAAGTATTTAATTGAGTATTTAATTGTATTAAGGTGAAGAGATTCACCCCTGCTGATATATATATATTTGCAGATGGAGACAGTAGTTTAGGGATTTGGAAGTATCAAATTATAACCTAAATCTCTGCAAAAGTATTGTCATATAACAACAATCTATATTGACATTGCACCTTTAGTATGATAAAATATTCTAAGCTGCTTCACAGGACTACTATAAAATGAGTAATGACACTGAGCCACATAAGGAAGTGTTAGGACAGATGGACTAGAACTTGGTCAGAAAGTTAAATTTTAAGCATACCTTAAAAGAGAAAAGTGAGGTAGAATGGGAGCTTGGGACTTAGTTAGCTATAGCTAAGGTCAGTAAAAGCAGAACAATTAAAATGGAGTACAGCATTAGAAGACCATGCACATATTGGAGTGTTATGGGGATGGAGGGGATTACAGAGACATGAAGGAACAAGGGCAAGGATGGATTTGAAAATAAAGATGAAAATTTTAATAACAAGGCACTGTTTAAACTGAAATGTAAACATGTAAAGGTTATGTTCCAGTTCTTTTCTCCATACGGTATTGAAGGCTGGGTCTTTAAATTTATCCAAGGCTGAGTTAGATAAACTTTTGAAAGAGAAGGGAATCAAGGGTTATGGGTGCCATCAGAAAAGTGGAACTGAGAACACAACTAAAACAGCTGTGACACTATCAAATGGTGTAGTGGGCCCAAAGGGCCAAATGGCCTATTGCTGATCCCAAGTCCTATGTTCCTATATTCAATCCTTCACCAGCTGGATATCTAATTAGTAATAGATTATTTAATTTAGCTTCCTACTGAGGAACAATATCAAGAAATGGTTACTGTCAGTGTATACATAAAAGGGTGTGGGCCTGTTGTAATACTGGACCAGTCATGCATCTGACCAGGCTCTCACATACATCTAGCCACTGTCATATTGAATGGCACAACAAGCTTGACAGCCTGAATGACCTACTCATTTTCCTATGTTCCAATCTACAACATTGACATCTACCTGACAAAATGGAAATCTTTTCCAGTATACTGTCCACTAAAAAAAGGACAAATCCTATTTGGTCAATTTTAGACCCATCAGTAAATGATGGTAGTTGTGTTTGATGTCACTGTCAAGGGCCACTTAGACACCAATACCAATGCCCAGTTGAGTTCTGCCAGGATCACTTAGCTTCATGGAGAAGAAACTGAACTTTAGGAGTGAAATGGGAACCACTGGCCTTGACCTCAAGCACCATATAACCAACTGTGACATATAGAGAGAGTGTTTCCTTTTGTGGGGAAACAGTATGACTAGAGGCCATCAATTTAAGGTAGATACCAAGAAATTAAATAGAGAATACAGGAGGAGGTTCTTTAACCACAAAGTGGTGAGACAGGAGAACTTGCTACCAGACGGAATGGTTGAAGTGGGTAGAGTAGATGGATTTAAAGGACAATCTATACAAAAGAAGGGAGGAGAAGGAAATAGAGAATTGCAGTGACAGATCTAGATGAGGAAAGATGGGAGGAGAGCCAAGTGGATCATAAACACTGGTCTGGACTAGATGTGCTAAATAACCATTTTCTATCCATATGTCCTATGTTAGCAAGGAAACATGACCATCTGAAGTTCCCTTTCAAGCTACATGAGTCTGCTTTGAAAATGTATCTCCTTACTACTTATTTTCTGAGTCAGAATCCTGAAACTCCTCACTCCATCTCATGAAAGAATCAAAAAGGTGCCAAATTTTAATATCAAGTTCACTTTATTTTTATTTTTCAAGATTTTTGATTTTGTCCTTCCAAATTTGAGGTGTGTATTGAGAGATTGTTTTCTGAAAATAGTAATCTAAGAAGAAGTACTCATGGTTACTGGTATATCACAAATAGCATGGCTATAGAAACAATTTGAGGTTTTCAATTAAAGAATATCATACAAAATACAAATTAATATAATATTAAAATAGTTGGCTGGAATGTGTTTTTTGTAATTTTTTACTGGATGTGTAACTTATAAATATGTTAAGAAATCATAATGTCAGCACTCCACATGCTCTTCTGTTGATTTTCTCCATCTCTGCATCCATTGTCTTATAACCTAACATTGGTATTCTTCACCTCATCCCTTCACCCCATCCCATCCCATCCCTTCGCCATTACCACCAGCTCATTCAACCAAAGCTTCTGTATCTTTGGAGTTATTTAACTGAATTTTGTCTACCTTTCCATCTACCTGCCTTGTTTCAATAAACAATTTTCTTCACCAGTATTTATAGCTATCAATCCTAAACTTTCCATTCCACTCCCGTTTCCTCATGTTTGCGACGCACCATATCAATATCTCCCACATTTAAAAATGTTTTGAGGCATTGCACAAGTTACTGGTGTGGTTTATCCTGGAAAATGCATTTTGTGTCATGGGATAATTAAGGAACATGCTTTTCATCCTTTAGTGGTGGAGCAGCTGATCCCAGAACTGAGTCTGTTACTGAAATTATTGGACCATGAGTACCTGAGTGCCACGACCCGAGAGAAGACAGTGACAGTAAGCAGCATGTTGCAGAGACTTCAACCACCATCTGGTCAGTGACATCAGCAAATTGCTTTACTCCCTACACTAAATCAGAGTTCTGGAGTTGAGATTATGCCAGAGTTTATGAAGTATTAAACTTTGTTTGCAATTGTATTTTCCTTAACTTCGTTGCTCACTCACAATCTCGTTCCTTCCTCAACTGGGAGGGATGCACGATAATCTAGATTTTGTCACCATTACCGTCGCTGTCACTGTATAGTGACCAACATGAGCTGTGTCTAAAAGGAGTTAGCTCCCAAAGTGAAAATCTCTGGATCCCAAAGGGCTTGATCTTACACCACAAACCTGTCCCTAAGTCCGAATTAGTCAACCTCTTTCATTTGTAAAATACAAAATAAATGACACACCTGACCATAAGGGTTCTCGTCTGGATATTTTTGATTTATTTTTAAATGTTATGTCTTCAAGATATGTTATGACACATCTCTGGAGCAGGTGGGACTTAAATCTGGCCCTCCTGACCCAGAGGTAGAGATACTATTACTGTGTCATAAGATCACCAGGTTAGGGCTAAAGCTATGGCCAGCACACTAGGGGATGTTCTGCAATTTAGTCTGCAACTTTTGTTGTGACATAACAGAGGCAGCACTATTGTATATTTATATATATGCTTTATGCAACCTTAGATTGAAAACTTTTGACACTTAATGCTTGAAATGGAAAGTGTTCTGTTCTCTTCACTGGCATCCCACACCAGTTAGCTGGGTTTCAGAGAATCATAAAAACAAAACCACAACCCAGAAAGAAGCCATTTGACCCAATGAACTCATGCTGTTAATGAAAAACTACCCAGTGTAATCTCACCCTTCACCACCCACCCCACTTTCAATTCTTAACCCTATAGATTGCAACTCTTCAGGTAGTTATTTCCCTTCTGAACATTTTCATACACATTCTGTTTAAAATGGTGTTATCTTCTGTAATGAATGTCATTGAAATTTCACTTTGCCATTGGAGCGAATGTCACATTGCTGTCTTATTTTTAAGTTTGGTTATAAATCAAGAATGTTTATAACCTGTAACATCTGGTGATAAGTTCATTCAACAGTTCCATTGTATGGAGCTTTGTGTGGATCCATATGATAAAACAGAATTATCAGCTTTTACCCTTTATCATGTAAAGATATGCAAAAAGAGCAAACTTTTGCTTCAGTTCCTGGAAGAGATTAAAGCAGTTTTGTGCTCGCTAACAATTTCCAGATACAATGAACCAAATGGTTTAACAGCTTTGAAGTTTTACAGGGATTTGACAATGTTGTGCCTCTTCAGGACTATTATGAGTTTCAGCTAACTCTTAAAGTGAGGCTTACGTCAACCACATTTAACTGATGGCAGAAATATTTCAATGACTGCTTCATTTACAAAACTCTGATCTCTCAGAGTCATAGAGCTGTACAGCACGGAAACGAGTCCTTTGGTCCAACTCGTCCATACCGACCAGATATCCTTAATTAATATTATCCCCTTTGCCAGCATTTGGCCCATATCCCTCTAAACACTTCCTATTCATATACCTATCCAGGTGCCTTTTAAATGTTGTTATTGTACCAGCCTCCACCACTTTCTCTGGCAGCTCGTTCCATTCACACACCACCCTCTGTGTGGAAACATTGTCCCTTAGGTCCCTTTTAAATCTTTCTCCTCTCACCTTAAACCAATGCACTCTAGTTTTGGTCTCCCCCACCCTGGGGAAAAGACCTTGGCTATTCACTCTATCCATGCCCCTCATGATTTTATAAACCTCTATAAGGTCAGCCCTCAGCTTCTAATGCTCCGGGGAAATTAGCCTGGCCTATTTAGCCTCTCCCTGCGGCTCAAACCTTTCAACACTGGCAACATCCTTGTAAATCGCTTCTGAACTGTTTTGAATTTCGCAACATCCTTCCAATAGCACCGCAACCACAATTGAACGCAGTATTCCAAAAGTGGCCTAACCAATGTCTTGTATAGCTGGAACATGACCTCCCAACTGCTATACTCAATGCACTGACCAATAAAGGCAAGCATACCAAACGCCTTCGTTATCCTATCTACCTGCAACTCCACTTTCAAGGAACTATGAACTTACACTCCAAAGTCTTTTTATTCAGCAATACTCCCCAGGACCTTACCATTGAGTGTATAATTCCTACCCTGATGAGCCTTTCCAAAATGCAGCACCTCATATTTGTCTAAATTAAATTCCACCTGCCATTCCTCAGCCCATTGGCCCATCTGATTAAGATTGTGTTGTATGCTAAGGGTACCTCCTTCACTGTCCACCACACCTCCAATTTTGGTGTCATCTGCAAACTTACTAACAATATCTCCTTTGTTCACATCCAAATCATTTACAGTAATCTGTGTCGGCATGTGGAATTCATTAATACTTAATTGACAGCTCAATAATTTGTACAATATGTCTGCTTAAAGTGTAATATTGCATTTCTAGGTTTGCCATTTATGTTTTCAATGTAAGTTGTATTTTCAAAGAATCTTTTGAGCTGTCTAGTAATATTTGATAGCTGTGGGTGATTGCCTTGGCTGAGTATTACCTGGAAAGAATAAAGTCATTTAAAAAGAACAATTGAAATATTTTACATCAAAAATGTTATCTTAGACTTTTATGTTTTAAAGACACAAACTTTAATGACAGCTAACTTTGTGTTCTGCCGATACTACTCAGAAACCGGCACCTTTCTCTGAATCTGAACATGTGCAGTCAAATGCTGAAAACTGGAAGTTGTTACCAGTGACACTATACTTCTCACAAGGATGTGCTTTTGAGATTCCCCTTCCCGAAGTCCCCATCCACCTCTCTATTCTGCAATCAATTGGAAATCCATGACTGACAATATTCCTCATTTATGTTCTTAGTTTTGCTGTAAGAATCAATGAAAAGATTGCATCTTATTTTTAATGACATACAAAGTTCATAATTGCTATGAAACACCCTTTCTATTTCTGAAAATGTCATTTATAATTGCTGAATGTTAAATTCTTTGATTTTGATAAGAAGTTCCAATAATTTTAAAAATATTACTTTTTTAAAACATGAATATTTTTTATCTTCTACTTTAATCCCACATGTATGCCCCAAACATTTATTCTGTTATCTGAAAACCTTAAAATTTAAGTTAAAAGCTTTCAGTGTGTGTGTTTTTAAAGTTCTTTTAGCTGTTGAAATGCTTCATTGTGATTGGTTGCTTACTCTGCCTGGTTACATCCACTTGATTTGATGCTAGAAATAAAGTGAGGTATGGAAAATGGAAACCTGTGCCATAAAGATCTTTTTGGGCAGTTTTCTTCAAGGTCAATTGAAAATTGATTGAAAATTTAGCCCAATAGTTGAAGTATGATTATCCCATAGCACTTCTCAACCTCTCCCCTCACCCTTGGGTTAAACCACCACCAGTCATCTCTCCCGAATGAGAGAGCAATCCTATGGCCTGATAAGACTATGGCAACTTTACCTTTAATTTTACTACTTATAACACTAAATGCATCTGGCGAAGCAATGAGTATGAAATAATCCAATTATTGATTACCATATATAGTAAGATCACGCCTTATGATCTTTTTCATGCAAAGGAGCAAATTTTTCACGCAGAGGGTGGTGCATGTATGGAATGAGCTGCCAGAGAAAGTGGTGGAGGCTGGTACAATTACAACATTTAAAAGGCATCTGGATGGCTATATGGATAGGAAGGGTTTAGCGGGGTATGGACCAAATGCTGGCAAATGGGGCTAGATTAATTTAGGTATCTGTTTAGCTTGGACGAGTTGGACCAAAGGGCCTGTTTCAGTGCTGTAGAACCCTATGACTCTATAACCAGATGTTCACTGGAAGAGCATAAGAAACATATTTGCATTTTGAATAAGAATAAAACAACGATACCCGTTTCCATATTAGTAACTTAAAATTAAACTGAACCTGATGTCAAATGTCAATGTATTGGAGAGTGCTTCTTTTGGAATTCTGATGGGAAGATAGAAAAAACTACGTAATAATATTAAAGGGATGTCAGGTACTAGGAACAAAAACCCCCATGAACTGAGGTACAAATTAAGAGAACCTGTGAATTCAGGTCAAAATTTACATCAAAGTTTCATTAACCTGAAGTGTTTTAACCTTTTCCCATTGAGCCACCAGTTTTAATTATTTTTATCAGAAATTTGAGACTGATTTATATATGTTATGATCCTAGACCAGACTCCTACATTTCTTATAGTCTCGTTAGGACTATCTTATTAACTAGCCTATTTAAAATAGGTCAGAAGTCACATGACACTAGGTTATAGTCCAAAAGTCTTATTTGAAATCACAAGCTTTCGGAGTGTTGCTTCTTCGTCAGGTGATAACCAACTTCACCTGATGAAGGAGCAGCGCTTTGAAAGCTTGCGATTTCAAATAAACACGTTGGACTATAACCATTTCACTTGATGAAGGAATAGCGCTTTGAAAGCTTGTAATTTCAAGTAAACCTGTTAGACTATAACCTGGTGTCATGTGACTTCTGATCTTGACCACTCCTGTCCACCACCAGCACCACCACATCATGGCTATTTAAAATAGATGAAGTTTGAAAATCCCAAATCTGTATTAATAGAATAAAGCCACAGAATCCATGGGCTTTGAACTACCAAAAATAATCACTACTGTACCAAGTCAAAAAGTAAAATACCTCTCAATATCTATATTACACTCCAATATTAGCATGAAGTCATTATTAATTTACAAGTGATGGTCAAAAAACTCAAAGAAGTCAACGTAAATTAAGCAACAAACTGTGGTGAAATATAATATTCATAGATTTGTTAGCATCTTACCCGGAATCAGTAATTACAGTGAGCTATGAAAGTCTTGTTAACACTCAGATCTTTCTTCAGAAGGATTTCACTCTCCACCTGAGATTTTGCTTCTTGATGTCACTTTGACGTGGAGAGCCTTCACACTTGCTCACCTCCTGGTGAGTTAATGTCATCATCTGGATGATTTTCTAACACCAGCTCCTTGGCTAAATTCCAGCTCCCCAGGCACCCACACAGCTGTGTTTATAGGCACAAACTGACTGTCTGGAACCTCTTCCTTGGTTCCAAAGCCAGAGATCCAATGAGATCAGGAGATTTACTCCTGTCTCTGGTCACCTTTAGTGGTTTCTTTTGTTTCTTCTAGTTTTTTGGTCACTTTTAGAACTTCAGGGTCCTTCTTATTACCTCCATGTCTCGCTCCTGGGTACAATGTTCAGTGATTTATTTTCCTGGTTACTGATTTCAAAACACCTGAATCCATCTTCAGCTCCCTCAAAACACCTTTGGAGCCAATTTCTCACCAGCCTGAAACATTGGAACAACCTCCTGTGTCCTGTGGCCTCCCTTTTTATAGAGCACATACTGGGTCCTGGGACTTTTGGTTTTACATGGCATATCAGTAGTATACTCCCATTACCTGGGTGGCCGCACCCTTTAAATGTTTAAAAGAAATGCCGAGCCCAGTGTTTGTGGTCTGTCCCACCCTGTGACTGTGAGGGGAGCCCGAGGACATGCCAGAAACTGGAGTTCTCCACCTTTGCCTGAAGACCCTGATCGAGCCATAGTAGATAATTTTTATAACAAGCCTTAATATGAAATGACAGTCTCCCTAACTAGGCATAGCTAAGCAATGATTAGTAGGACTTTGAGTTGCTAGAAAATAAACATTGGAGGGTGGCAGTGTTTTACATGGAATGGTGTAACATGAGGTACTACACAGCATTTTTAGTTCAGACTATTACTTGTATCAGTTTATCAACTAAAAGAAGTATAGAAGTTGAAATTTCAGTGTCTGATCACTTGGTTTCTGCCCTTTTTTATAATTAAATTTTACCATGTCTCTTTCCGCAGTTTCTGAGACTAACTATATGTATATGAACACATCAGATTGTCGGAATGGGACAAGCTTTGTAGAATCCTTATTCGAGGATTTTGGTATGTCAGTATTCTTTTTTCTAAAATAAAGGTTAACTACAAGACTAATTATAAATTACTACAGTTATAAAGTTCTATTTCCAAGCTTCTACTTGTGCAGTATCATTACCCTAGGAGGCTACAAGAATCTTATCAAGACAGTCCTCATTATATGGGAAATATAGACATGGCAGTAGAGTATATTACTTTAATAGGATGACTAAATTATTAAATTTTCCCACATTTGAATTGTGCTTAAGTCACTTAAGAACTACAATGATTCTTGGACTCCTAATGGTTTAAAACCACAAAAGATTGACAAATACTTTATATGATACCTATATGAACAGCCTTATCACTAGTCCTGTCATCTACTGATAAGTTATGTCTTTCTATTGATTCACTTGTTACTGTTTTCTTGTGCAAGCAAAGCTAACTTTCTCTCAAATAAGAGCAATGCAGTGAATATCTATGCATTATTTTTGATATTGAGGTAGGATACCAGGATTTGTTTGCGATGACAATTTTTGACCAACTCTTTCTTATTCTTGACTGACCAACTATCAACAAAATCTTATTTATAAGTCTGAAAATAAATTACAACTCATTCACTCTCATGGATTCTGGTGTATTCAGCAACTACAGAAGTTTGGTTTTATTTGTAAATAGCATATGGATGTCTTCAAAATTCATAATGCAATTTTGATTTTCTGTGCAATTTTCAACCTGCTCTAACTAAAAAATAGAAAAGTGGGAATATGGCAATGAAGTAGAAGATCAGCTGTGATCATATTGAATGGCAGAGTAGGCTTGAGGAGCTGAATGGCCTCCTTTTACTCCTATTTTTCATCTATCTCTATCTCTTAAATGCATCAGCAATGTCATCTGAAATAGTGGCAAGTTTCTGAATCATTCTCAATGAGCAATGAGATGGAACCAACCAGGGAAAGAAAGCAAAGAGAAAGCAAAAGCAACAACCTCATTTAAATGGGAGGCTACTGGTCTTTTTATGGTAGAGCTCAAACCTTGATGAACTAATTCTTGTTCTCAAATATTTTAATACTTAGCAATCTTCCATTCTTTTTCGCAATAATAGCCACAGTAATCTTTAGCCAACACAAAACTGGGTTGGATTTTACACCTCAATCTTATTGGTTTGTATTGGTTTTTCTGAACATCAATCATTATCCCTATGAAATTGTTTCTAAAAAAGCCATGCAGTCATATTTTGGATGTGGTTGATCAAGTTTGATGTCAAACATCCTTAGCCTATCGATCAAAGGAAATGTCTATGATTAAAATCAAGATGAATGATTGAAAGACTGGAATGAATGTAGAGTCTTCCAGAATTTTAAGCCTAACCTCATTTGAACAAGACATTTACTACATCAAGGATCCTGAAGAAAACTGGAATCAATGGGAGTGAAGGCCCGATATGAATTCAGCATAACCTCACTGCACCTATTAATGAAGCCTTGGATACTGTATGCTTTCCTAACTGCATTCGCCATCTACCCTGTCTGCTTAATGATTAATACACATTTACACCCAGGTCTTTCTGCTCCACAAACCATTTAGAGTCATACTTATAATTTTATACTATCTCTCCGTGTTCTCTGAATCAAAATATATCACCTCATACTTTCCACATTGAACGTCATCTGCCACTTATCTGCACACTCCAAACTTGTCAATGTCCTTTTGAAGTTCTACAATGTCTTCCTCACAGTTTACAGTTCTCCCTAATATTGTATCATCTGCAAACTTGGATCTCAATATTGACCCCTTGGACACACCACTGCAAACCTTCCTCCAGTACAAAAAATATTCATTAACCATCACTCTCTGCTGCATATCCCTTAGCCAATTTTGTATCCATATTTCTACAGTCCAATTATTCAAGTAACCATAACTTAGCCCACAAGTCTATTATGTGGTACTTTATCAAACAAGTTTTGGAAATCCATGTATTCCAATATCAGCAACCTTGCCCTCATCAACCCTCTTGAATGTTACCTTCTGAAAAAAACACCAGCAAATCAAGCACGATCTTCTCTTCATAAATCCAGTATGGCTCTTCACATTAATCGTATTTTTTAAGTAACTATTAATCCCATTCAAAATAATTGTTTCTGGAAATTTTCCTGCTACTTGTGTTAAACTGACTGCGCTGTAATTGCTGTGCTTATCCCTATAAGCTTTCTTGGACAAGAACATAATGTTGGCAACTCACCAGTCTTCAGCACCTCTGTAGAGTTCAGTAAAGATTAAAAGATGATAATAAATGCCTCTGCAATTTTTACTCTCACTTCCTTAAATATTTTTAGATGTATCTCATCCGGACATGTTGCCTTATCAAATTTAAGAGCCAAAATCTTATCCTTATCCAATCTAAAATCACTTGCTGCTCATTGTGCTCTACACTGTCAGTATCTCAGTCTATGTTTGGGTAATTAAATTTCCCCATTACAACTACACAATGATGTTTACGCCTCTCTGTAATTTTCTTGTTATCAGGTCATTTATATATTGCATCAAACAATGTAGTTACACCCTTTTTCTTCCTTAGCTTTAGCCAAATTAATTCTGTGCTTGAACACTCTGAGCAATACACTATCTCCAATGCTCTCCATAACTGAAGGTAGCACACCATTTTTTTCCCCTTTCCAATCTTTCTGAACTCCTTATATTACTATATTACTCCCTGGTATTCCTATCTAATATTGTCTCCTGGATCCGATACCCCTGCTGAGATCATTTATACTCTCCCCAACAGCTCTGGGAGAATAAAAACCAAAAGAACTGTGGATGCTGTAAATCAGGAACAAAAACAAAGTTGCTGGAAAAGCTCAGCAGGTCTGGCAGCATCTGTGGAGGAGAAAACAGAGTTAACATTTTGGGTCTGGTGACCCTTCCTCAGAACTGATGGTGGCTGGGAAAATGTCAGTTTATATGCAGAAAATAGGGAGGTGGGGGGGGTAGGGAGTAAACGATAGGATAGAGCCCAAAGAGAGAGAAAGACAGTTGGACAGACAAAGGAGTTGCTAACAATCAGGCTGGGAGGGTAAATAGTTGTTAATGGGGACTGTTAGTGACTAACAACAGAGGGTGTGTAGTGGCAGACTATGTGGTAACAAGGCCTGGTGTGTGGGGTGGGGGGCTGGGACATGGGAGAGATTAGGCCCTAAAATTATTGAACTCAATATTGAGTCCAGAGGGCTGTAGGGTCCCCAAGCGGAAAATGAGGTGTTGTTCCTCCAGCTTGCGCTGGGCTTCACTGGAACACTGTAGCAAGCCGGAGACAGAGATGTTGGCCAGGGAGCAAGGTGGTGCATTGAAGTGGCAGGCAACAGGTAGTGCAGGGTCTTTTTTGCGAGCAGAACGTAGATGTTCTGCGAAGCGGTCGCCAAGTCTACGCTTTGTTTCCCCAATGTAGAGGAGACCACATTGTGAGCAGCGAATGCAGTAGACTAGATTCTTGGAAGTGCAGGTGAAGTGTTGCTTCACCTGGAAGGTATGTTTGGGCCCTTGGATACTGGGGAGGGAGGAGGGAAATGCGCAGGTGTTGCACCTTCGCCGGTTACAGGGGAAGGTGCCATAGGGCTGTGGGGATGGAGCTAGAAACAAATCACTTAACTCTTTTTATTCTCATTGAGTGGACAATAATGGCAAGTAAATTTTCTTAGCTGCATAGATATGGCTTTGCGTTGTATAATAACATAAGCATGAGAACATACTGTTCTCACTCATATCGGTGAGCTGTCTTGATTGAGTTATACAAGTAGTTCAGTAACTACACACTGCATTTTCCTCTTCACCCAAAGTTTCAAATCTTATTTTGGCTATTCGTAAGACTTGGCACCAAAGTTATTAAAGGTTTTTAGGATGAAAAGAACTAGGTCAATCTAAAATACTTCACCATTACCACATGTCAACTATGACTCACTGTTGGTTGCATCCTTGCCTTTTAAGTTCAAGTTACATCTCAGGGACACGAATATCAAGGCTGACAACACAATGTTTTCTTGAGGGTGTGTTGTGCTGTAGACTGTTCTTTTTTTCAGAGAGGTTAAACTGACGCTGAATCTTCCAGCTGTTGTTTTAAAAAAATCCCATGGCCCTCTTTCGAAAAAATGCTGAAGAGTTATCTCTAGTCTCCTGACGAATATTTAGCCCTCAATCCACATCAAACAGATTATTTGGCTATTATTACATTTCTAGTGTATGGGAATTTGTGGGGGATATTGCCACTGTGTTTCCATAATAGTGATGACACGTCAAGCAAATGTTTGTTTGTAAAGTGATTCTAGATGTCTGATGGTCATGAAAAGCACTCTATAAAACATCTCAGATCCCCGTTCCAAATTGATGCAACTTTATGTAAAGCACTCAGGTTGGCTTTCAGCCCTTGAAATGATTATGATGCTTCTACTGTTCTTGCTATTATCATCATGTCATGAATGATAAGGACCTCTCTAACCACCTCTGTAATAGACTGTACAACTGCAACCTATTACTTCCTAAGTCAACTTCCTTCTCTGTCAGCCTTACACTTTCTAAATTCCAACCACCTAGCCTTTGCTTCTTTATTCACCATAATATTTCTTCAACTGTCAATCTTTCAAAAATACCTTCACTTTCACCCTTATCCCTGTGAAATCTATTACTTCCTGTCAACCTGTTCACTGCTTTTGTACAGCCCTCACTCTTGTTCCCATGGCTGGAAATTGATTTCACCATTCATTGTCAGATCATATAGACAACAAAACCACTCTTGGGTCCTATTGTCTTCTGCCAAACTACTTGCTGAACAGCATCATTTTGGAATGCAAAGGATACCTCCAACATCTTTACGCCATTGTAAGTAGTTTTAATATTTCCCTTCCACTACCCATCTGTCTCCTTCAATAATGAATAATGAGCTCAAGGACCTTTATGTCACTAAGATTGATTCAGTTCTCTCAGGATAACACCCCCTACCCCCACGCTAACTGTGACCTGTCTCCTATGTACCTTCATGCCCTCTCTAAGTTCATCCTGTCCATGAGAGCTATTTCCTCCTCCACAGAGTGCTGTTCTCTTCTTGACCTCCGTTAGCTACATTGTTTAACTGAATTCTGAGAGAGGGTCACTCAATCAAAATGTTAACTGTAGTTTCTCTCTGCTGCCAGACCTGCTGAGCTTTTCCAGCAATTTCTGTTTATGTTTCTGATTTACAGCATCTGCAGTTTGTTCGACTTTTATTTGTTGTAATTCTTCTCACGCGTTGTCTATCTCCCTTCAGATTGATCATCATCAACCTCCCAAAGGCAACACTTGAACACTCTGTCATTGCAACTGATCACCCTATTTTCAATCTTTCTCTCCCAAGTCCCTGTCACCTCTAAAATCCGAGCTGCTGTGACAGGTTACCACGGACACCATCTCCTTCAATCTCTTTGACTGGTCTGCAACCTTTAACATGGTTGCTCACAAAACCCTGCCTCATTAGCCATTTGGGACAGCACTCATCAGATTCCATTCCTCACTATACAGTCATGCCCAGAGAATCACCTGCTATGACATTTCTCCCACTCTCACACCAGTCTTTTTGCACTCTGCTATCTCTCAGGATCTATCAGTGACCTCTTGTTTCTCATATTTGTGGTGCTGGCAATGATACTAAAAATACGTCAGCGTCCACATATACATAAATGAAACCCAGCTTTACACACCAATGCCTTTCTTGGCCCCTCCATTGACTCTTAATTATTAGATTATTCATCTGTCATCTAGTGCTGGATGAGCAGAAACTTTACCAATAGTATTGGGAAGTCTAAAGCCTTTGGCCTCAGACACTAACTCTAATCCTGAGCCACTAGCTCCAAGTTTTTTAATCTGGCAATAGTGTGAGACTGAATTGGATCTTTTGCTGTAACATCCCCTGACTCTGATTTGTGAAATGAAATTTTACACCAAATCAGATAAGATGTTCATGCAGACGTTACATGGAGAGTGTGTTGGAAGGGCATGAATTGGCATGGCTTGACATGATTGGAGCTGCTGGGGGAGCCTAGCATATCAGTACAAAAGATAAGACTGAAGACTAAAATACTGAAGCCTTTGCAATAGCCTTCAGTTAGAAATGCTAAGTGGATGATCCATCTTTGCCTCCTCCAGAGATCCCCAGATCGCAGATGCGTCTTCAGCTAATCTGATTCACTCCATGTGATATCAAAAAACAGCTAGATGCACTGGATATTGCAAAGGCTACAGGCATTGACAATATTTCAGCAATAGTACTGAAGACTAGTGCTCCAGAATTGCCACATACCTAGCCAAGCTCTTGCAGTACAGCTACAACATTGCTATCTATCTGACAACATGGGACAATTGTCCGGGTATGTCCCATACAGAAAAAGCAGGATAAATCCAACCCGGCCAATTACCACCCCATCAAGGTACTCTCAGTCATCAGTAAAGTGAAGGAAGGTGGCATCAGCAGTGTTATCAAGTAGCACTGCTCAGCAATAACTTGCTCAGTGACGCCCAGCTTGGGTTCCATCAGGGTTACTCTAATCTGACCTCATTTGAGTTTTGGTTCAAACATTGACAAAAATAGTTGAATTCCAGAAGAGAAATGAGAGTGACTACCCTTGACATCAATGCTGCATTTGACAGAGTGTGGCACCAAGGACCCCTAGCAAAATTGAAGTGAGCAGGAAACATGGGGAAAACTATGCTGGTTAGAGTCATACCTAGCACAAAGGAAGATGGTTGTGTTTTTTTGGAGGTTAGTCACCTGAACTGCGAGACATCTCTGCAGGAGTTCCACAGGGTATTGTCCTAGGCCCAATCAGCTTCATTTATGAAGTTTGATCCATTGTAAGGTCAGAGGTGGAGATGTTCACTGATGATTGTACAATGTTCAGCACCATTCATAGCTCCCCAAACAGTGAGGCAGTCCATATTCAAATGCATGAAGACCTGGACACTTTCCAGGTTTGGGCTGACAAGTGGCAAGTAATATTCGTGCTGCACAAGTGCCAGCCAATTAACATCTCCAACAAGAGAGAATCTAACCATTGCTCTTTGGTATTCAATGCATCACCAACATTGAATCCATCACTATCAACATCCTGGGGATTAGCATTGATCAGAAACTGAACTGGACTAGTCATTTTCATACAGTGACTAGAAGGTCAGAGTCTAAGAAACCTGCAGCAAATAACCCACCTACCTTTTCGCAAAAGCCTGTCTACAAGGCACAAGTCAAGAGTGTGATGGAATACTCCCCACTTTCCTGGATGAATGCAAACTGAAAAACACTCAAGAAGCTTAACATCTTCCAGGACAAAGCAACCCATTTGATTGGCACTACATCCACAAAAATTTACTCCCTCTCCTACCGATGCTCAGTAGTGGCAGTGTCTACCTTCTAAAGATTCATGGTTCACTCCCCTTGGACAGCAGCTTCCATACCCATAATCATTACCATTTAGAAAGACAAGGACATCAGATATATGGGAACACCACTGCCTACAAATTCCCCACTAAGCCATTCACCATGCAGGTTGGAAATACTTTGCTGTTCCTTCAGTGTCACTGGCACAAAATCCTGGAATTCCCTTCCTAAGGATACTGTGGGTCAACCTACATCACATGGACTACAGTGGTTCAAGAAAGCAGCTCACCACCACCTTTTCAAGGGCACCTCAGGACAGCCAATAAATGCTGGCCAGCCAGTGACACCCATGTCGCATGAATGAATTGAATAAAAGGCATGACAGTAGTGTACTGGTTGGTGATGGATTGTAAGAGCTGCAGGTTTCACTATTTCTTTCTTAAAGGAGGTGCCAGTACATTGAGGCAGGCCATGCAACCACATTGACCTACCGCGTCTTGGCTAATTAAAAAATTACCTGCCACAACTCCTATAAAATTCAGCCTCCCACAATGAAAATCCAAAGTCCTAGGATATTTGTTTCTGGGTTGGGTTTGGAAAGTCCTAAGACTACATTCGGACCACCCATACAAACAGGTACAGCTCTCTTCAGTTCTCATATTGCGAGTGATATGAAAGATCATTTGGATTATTGATGCAGAAGCACATCGGGCTCCACATTACAATATCTCCTTACAACATTTCTTAAAGGATTCCAGGATTTATCTATACTGCATCATCCAGAAGTCCAATCCATACATTGATTACTCTTTTTACAAAGAAGTTCCTGATATTACTGCCAACATTGGTCTGAGTAATGGGATCATTAGTCTATTAAAAAAACAAAATACTAACCAAATCAAATTCCCCTTTGGCTATCTGACTATTGACATGAATTGTCTGTGACTCTGAAGTAAGTCTTATATATCTAGCACAGGAGACCTCACACAAAGAAAATATATATGGCAACCATAATAATAAAGTTCTATGGAAAGGAATGCTTGTTACCAACAATCAGTATTGTGAAGTGAACACGCTGTGTGAAATTTATTTCCTGTCTTGAGCACTGCCAGCACTTGGGAATCAGTCACCATCAGCTTATTTATGGTAATAAACCTCTTACCATGCTGCCTCCTGTGACACATGCACTATAAAGAAAATGCAAATAACACTAATTACAAAGCAAAACTGCTTGTGAACAGTTATGTGCTATTTTTACAACAGTTACAATATGAGTCTTGATTGTGTAAATGCAGATTGTGAACTATGTGACCTTAAAGACATGCAGGAGGAGCGTAAGGATGGAAACCAGATTGAGATGCCTTCACAGGAAACTCCCCATTCCAAATCGGTGAGTTTAGAGCTCTGGGCCCTTCCTTAATGCTGCAGAAATAATCAGTGTAGGAAAGGGGCCATTATTTTATTTCTGACAAATCAAATCAATAAATAATTTTAACCTTTAATATGTTGACTGTAACAAATCTTGTTACTTTTTCAAATCATTCTTCTTCGGTTGCTAAATGTAGAGGTTACATTTTTAATCATATTTTTGATTGAGGTTAATTTCTTTTGGGCAATGTAATTAATATAAAAAATTGCGTTATCATTAGATGGATATGTACTGAAGAATCAACAATGTAGTTGCCCGCCATAGTTGGGGAGTCCTGTCACATTTGAGTTCTGCATAAATGTCATGTAGAAAATACAGCCCCCCAGTAGCTGACAGTTCAGAAAACAATATTCTGTTTTCTTCTAAAATATAGCCTTGAATAAAGACCAAAAAAAATGAACTTTTTTTTTGTATTAGACTTTAGGATTTAAGTTGAGCTTTGGATTCAGTTCATCAATATGTCAACCACATGATTTATTAGGCAGTTAAGCTTGACTAGATTTAGCCAAAACTTGATGGGCTTCTGAATGAAATGTCTATCTGGTGATGAGTGTGCCTTTTCACATTAAAAAAAACGTAATGGCAAGATTCAAGGAAGAGCAGGAGATTTCTCCCTGTCTTGGCCAGCATGTACGTGGTCGCTCAGTCATTGGCACATTAGTCCCCGAATTGCAAGGTTCCAGGTTTGAGTCTGATTCTGGGACTTGAACATAAAAATCAAAGCTGTCACTCCAGTGTAGTATCGAGGGACCATTGATCAGTAGGAAATGCTACCTTTTGGATGAAATGTAAAACAGAGGCCCATCTACCAGGTTGATGGATGGGAAAGATCTCATGGCACTGTTTTGAAGAAGAGCAGGAAGGTTATCCCCAATGAACTGATCCATAGTTTTCCTTAATCACAAAAAAAACAGATTATGCGGTCATTGTCCCAATTGCTGTTTGTGGGAGTTTGCTAAATGCAAATGAGCTGCCATATGTCCTACATTATAACAGGGACCACACTTCAAAAAATACTTCATTGGCTGTAAAGTGAGGTCTAGTGGTGGTGATGTGTGATATAAGTGCAAGTCAATTTGCTTTCAACAAGCATTATTGAAACTGATCATCTGGTTGTTATTACTGTTGCCAGACTTTGCTAGATGTAAATAGTGGTACCAAAATTCTGATTTATGAAGTAAGTTTCTCTTATTCAGGGAATATCTGATACACCACCTCCTCTACCCACAACACCACCACCTGAAGATTATTATGAAGAAGCTGTACCGTTAAGCCCAGGAAAAGTTCCTGAGTACATCACCTCCCGCAGTAAGTATCTTGGTCATTTGAGGAGGAATCACTTGAATTTATCTTTTAGTGACAGAATCACCATTTGTTTTCTTACCAAATCAGTTAATTGATGAGCAATCTGTGAAAACCTTGCACCAGGCATGCTGGTTCCAAATGAAATCATGAGTAAAGGATTGTTATGCTAATCCTAAAGTTTCCTTTCAGCTTTCAAGCCTCATTTGTACAAGGTAACTGTACATTACCTCTGGTTGCCAATGCAGTCAAAATGATGTGGGTACAGGTAACTTAATGATGATTTTGGTGGACTAGTAATACAGAAGTTTGGAATAATTTGCTAGGGACATAAGTTCAAATTCTCTTGTGGCAACTGAGGAATTTAAATTCAATTATTTAAATAATTAATCAGAATTAAAAAGTTGAATCAGTAATAGTGACCAGAAGACTACTGAATTGTTGTAAAAACCCATTTGGTTCACTATTGTCGTTGAGGAAAGGAAATCAGACAGTCTCATCCAGTTTGGCATATGCGTGACTCATGGCAATATGATTGTCTCTTAACAGTCCTCCGAAATGGCTTAACAAGGATTCAGTTGCTGATAAGAAAGTGGCTCACCAATACCTGCATAAGGGCAATTAGCAATCCACAATAACTGCTGCTCTTGCCAGTAATGACCATATCTAATAAATGAATAAAACAAAATAAAAGAGAAAATAACATTCCAAGCAACAGCATGTGTCTGTGAATTGTTACCTAACCCAGCAATGATAATTGTAATGTTCTCTGTGCAGTCTAAGAGCACGGTCCAAAGAAATGAATATGCTCTGAAGCTAGGAGGGGTGAATTGTTGTTTTACAATGGAAAATTTTCTTTATTTATGTTGAAGTCTTTCATTCTAGTTTATGTACTTGACCACAAATGAAGGAAAAGATTTTACTGACTCAGCAGCTGACACTATCTAGTTGTTCAGCCAGAACTGCCTGGTTGGAGTGGAGAGCAGACAGTCAGCAAAAAAACCTCTAGTGGTTCCAGAAGGTTTGCAGAACAAGTCTCAAGTCAGCAAGGTTTAAATGCAGAAACAGCTAAGCTCATCTTCAGTCTAGAATTAGATCATCATCATTAAATATTTATGCTGTTAATAAAATATTGTAATGTAAACAATGTACTAAATAAACCAGAGAATACTACTTTGTCAGGACCCCATTTTGCAGCCTCAGTACCTTACAATTTGTGTTTGATTAGAACTCTTCTCTGAAAGATTTGCTTTCACATTGTGATGTCTCTGGTTGTCAGAATACTCTTGTGCTGAACAGATGACCATTTTTGTAATTGCCACTACAATCCAGATTCCGCACAGTAAATTGAATTTTTGTCAATCAGGTTATGAGACTAAGCAACAAATTTAATGCCGTCATATAAGATAACAAATTTAGTAAGAAAACCTGAAATATCCACCAAAGCTTCGCTATTTCACCGCACAGCTAGTATAGGATCTATCCATAAATGTCAATAAATCACAAATACGTTTGCACTTTGTCTCTCCCAGGGATTGTCACAACTATACAGTGACACTTCCATTAATGTTTTTATGCACAGTATTTAAAAACAATTGTGTTTCCTTACATAATACTGCTTGAAATACAATTTTGACTGAAATGTCTACATATGACAACATTTGAACATTTGCATCTGAAATAAAGCAATCACCCAGACTACCCATGGGAACTCTTCCACACGGGGTTGGCAGAACCCTATAGAAATTTAGGGTCAGTAAATTAATTGTTGATCAAATGCAGTTTAGAAAATTAATTCCCCATTGTAAGGAAATCAATTTTGTTTGCAAATCTGTTCTGATAGAAGCCATGAGCACTTTTACAGTGCAAAATTGAAGTTCAGTACTCAATTAAATATGAGCTATTAATCAGTCACTTGGTGCAAGATAGGCTGTCACACTGCAGTTGCCTAATGCCTGGTTGAGCACATAGTAGGCATGCATAACCCCGCTATGCAGTACATTGGAGGTCAAGCCAATTCATTCTTCATCTTTTAAGTTTGTCAGTCAAACTCATCAGTATTCATTGCAGGGCCCATATTTGCCTTTGCTGTGCTCTGCTTGCAGTCTCCCTTCCGTGTGCTGACCTTCCCAGCTATCACTTCCTTCCCTTCCTGTCTACTTGCAAACCCTCTCACTCCCTCCCTCCCTCAGACCATTCCCTTTCCCAAGACCTCAGTGAGGGTTTAGAGAGGGATAGTCAGTGAGTGGGAGGTTTAGGTTTATGAACATGACAGTCAGGGAGTGCTCAGTAAGCAAGAGGATCAAAGGCTCAGAAAGACGCAAGATGGAGGGGAGGTCGGTGAATAGGAGTCTTGGGGAGGCAAGGAGGATAGCTGAGATTGGGAAAATAATAGAACATAATGGCTTCATTTTGTTTCCTTTCCATTGAAATCATTCCCTAATTTATTCAGGACTGATAGCTCTATGCAGTTTTATTAACATAACTGAGGGTAGGATTTTATTCAGTAAAGATGAACCGTTTAATAAGTGTCAAGACTTTGAACCTGTGAGTAACCTGATTTTATCATCACTGAAAATAGCTTCAAAAGCTGCACCAAACTATTTTATACTTTGATTTCTTTAGCTTCTCAATTTCTCACTTAGGAATTTTTATTTGACCAAACTGAAAAAGTGTGCCAACAAGTTCCTGCACGCCTGAGAAAATGAGCACAATTGGTAGAGCCTTCCCAAACCATCACATTGCAAGAATCTCTCAATTTTATCCAGCAATTTATATAAATATTTAAAGATTATCATTAATTGCTGAAATTTTTAAAATAAATGAACTGTCACTACTAACATCAGTCAGAGGACTAGGTTATAGTTAAAAAGGAAAAGTAGAGAAACAATGCTCCATGTATATTGAACCCAGATTACAAAGAACTTCAGTTCCTAAAGTATTCATCTTTTCTAATCTTATTTGTGTCTTATATACCAAGACCTCTTTTTAAAAATTCTACTTGCAATCCAATTAAAATTTCCCAATATCCTTACAGTCCCCATATTACTTGTTTCTAAGGAATATCTCTAGTCTAACCAGAATTGGTACTTCCCAAAGTCTTCTGAATTGGTTTCCAGAAGATCTATATTCAGTTCAGTTAGAAACCAAATGCAATAAAAAATGAAAATATTTGTTCTTGTTTTTAATTCAACAACCCTAGGTAAAGGGCCAAGGCAAATAGAAGACGATATGGCCAATGTTGAAATGATAACAAAGCTGAAACGAATTACAAAGTGACAGTAGGTGAGGTTTTCAAAACTTATATGAATAAGTGAAGATCGAGAGATATAAGAAATGCTACAGTTTTGAGGTCTGAGAAAATAAGTAGGAAATTGCACAATCAAACTTGATTTCAACTGAGTGAGCATTGTGGTCATATGGGACACCGTATTTAATGTTTAGAAGAAACACAATTTCAAAAAAAATTTGTGGTATTTGTAAAATAGTGAGGATAGTCATTGGGAGAAGGATGAGGAAAGCATTCGAGAACTTGTCTTTGTACAGTATCATTTTTTGTTTGATAACTTAGCAATATAAGTTAGTTTTAAGCTATGTCATTTCTGCCATTCTCTTTCTCATCCATCATTTTTCAAAATACAGCAAAAATATAACATACTATAATGTCAGCTTTAGCTCAGTGTTGGAAGTTTTGCCTCTGAGTCAAAAGGTTGGGGGAGACAAGAAGTTTGGTTTTAAATTTCACTTCAAAGGCTTAAGCATGTTTAAATTCAGTGCTGAGGGAGTTTTGCGATGTTGGAAGTGTTATTTTAGATCTGAATTAAACAATACTAAGCACTTCCACCATCTCCCCACGAGTTCTGTTCCATTGAGGTCTGTTTGGTCATTTCCTTTGTTTCTACAGATTAGTTTTGAATTTACCGTCATTCAAGCTTGATGATCTCTTCTTCTGTCAAGGTGAAATAGCTTCTAATGGTGTACATCTAGGCACATGATGATTGGCACAGGTTTTCGCCTGGAAGATTTAATTTGGGTGATACCCCAGACCCCACAGATGTTTGAGTCCAAATCCTAACTGATCTTTCCATATCCCATTCAGCATGAAAAGATGATAAAGTAAACTTACTCAAATTAAACTATTTCAGATAAATTGCAGTTTTTGAGGGAGTTGGCAATTAACTTAAAGTATGCACTACCACCAATGAAGAGATCTAGACTTAGAACAACAGTAGAAGGAAATTCAAAGATCATTAGAATGTGAAATATTCTTCCCTAGCAGATAATAGAGACTTTGTCTTTAAGATTGAGTTAAGTAGACTTTTGATAAACAAGTGAGTCAAGGGTAATGGAGTGCAGATACGAAAGTGAAGATGAAACTATAGCCTGAGCAGGCATGATCTGTTTGGATAAAGCTCAGAGGACTAAATAGCTTATTCCCACTCCTAAATCCTATGTTCTTATGTTAATGTGATGAGTATGAATGTAAATGTTGCAAATTGTTAATAGGGGAAGGCCATATTCCAGCATGTCTCACCGTTTTCTCTTGTGAACATGAATACAACAGTGAAGAGTATATGCTTCAGGATGTTTACCAAGGGAAAAATCTGCAATGTGATATTCTTGAAAATCTTGCAGTTATCCAATGATGTCTTTCCCAGTAATTTTGTAGGCTGCTGTATTATCCTTTCTGGACAATGATGGACAGAGCTGTAAAATCAGCTAATTCAGACTGGAACACAGAGACATTCACTGACTTCAGATGGTTCATATTTCCTTCATTTTAAATCCCAATTGCTAGTTTAACATCTAAGGAAATACCTGTATAAATTTTTATCAAACAAGAATAAATGAGTGAGTCAGTTGTGTTTTAATGTATTTCTTTTCTAATGACTGCTTTTAAAGTTTTGGAAGGGAATGGAATTGTTTAAAAATCACAAAGGAAGTGTAGTATTGTGGCCTTTGATGAATGGGCTAAAGTCAGAAAACAAAGCATGACATTTTTCATT